AGTTCGTAAAGCAGGGTCTTTGGCCAAGCATTCGGCACTGCTAGTTCTAGATTCAGCCGTCCCCGGTGACCGGCTGATCACTATCCTATGCCGTGCCGCATGCGATTGGGAAACCATTTTTTCGAAAAAAAAGAGAGAAAATGAAGAGTAAAATGAAGAAAAAACAGGCGTTATCTTTAGAAGAAGGGTGAAAGACGCTTGGTTGGCTGAAGAACGGTCGGACAGTTGGCCGAGTGTCGGATACTTGAAAAGTTAAAACACTTAGGGAATTTTGAGATTCTTTAAGTCAAAAAGTCCAAGATTCTCCAAAGATTCGCAAAGGTGTGAATCTAAAGGGGGGGTCAAACCTTACTATTTATAGGGAGGGGTAAAACCCTATAAATTTTCCCTCCAACAGTAACTTTTTGAATCCGACCACTCGGATACTGACACCTGTCACAGGTGCCACGTGTAATACACGTGACCCCTGTGAGGGGCAAATGATTTGGGTATTTTATACCCTGCCAAGTGGCCTAATCAGAGCATGACACGTGTCACTAAAAGGGGCACTTAGTTGGACCATCCAGATGGTGACACATGTCGAGCAGATATTGCCCCCTGGGATTGGCGGCTTTCAAGGCCCAAATCCCAAGGGGCCCTTAAAAAGCGGCGTGACCTAATTCCTAGGTCACCAGATCCTAGGAGGGGCACACTTTCCAAAAGGACCCTATAAATAGGGACATTCTTCCATTTATGACGGGAGAGAGAATATACACGCAATACGAGACAACACGTCACTTACCACCGAGCTGTCGTTTTCAAGGAACACACAGCACTTTACCTGAGCTTGGAATCCGAGCAGATAAACTTTACTTCCGCACATTTTATTACCGAACGCTTACTAACTTAATCTTCGGAGGCAGACCACCGACCATCCGGCGGTCCGTTTGCTTTGCAGGTGCAGGCGTCCTTTGTTGAATCTAGTCTCAGTATTGTAACTCTCCCAAGGGACAAAAACCCCCGAAACACCACCTAGTATTATTATTATTATTATTTTTTAAAATACCACCAACGTTTTTCTAAAACACCAAAAATTCCCACTTATTTGGCTCTCAACCACCTTATGACGTCATGTGGGGCCCACATAATACCTTCCCTCCCCTTTTCCCTCCCATTTCATATGTCTCACTCGATACTTCACTCCCAGATTCAATTTTTCGCTGAAAGAAATCAAAAACATTGCAATTCACTTCTCTAAACCAAATTATTGATTGAATATTGTTTGCTTTTTTGATTTCTTTCAGCGAAAAATTGAACCAATGAGTGAAGTATCGAGTGAGAATAAGAAATGGGAGGAAAAAGGGAGGGAAGGTATTATGTAAGGCTCATATGACGTCATAAGGTGGTTGAGAGCCTACTAAGTGGAAACTTTTAGTTTTTAAGAAAAAAGTTGGTGGTAATTTAAAAAAAAAAAATACTAGGTGGTTATTGCTAAAATGGAAACAATAGTAGGTGGTAATTATCAAAATTTTCCTATTTATAGTATCTCTTATTATCTACTCCATTTGTCACTTAATTAGATTTTTACTTCTCTCTATTATGTGAATAATTACTAAAAGTAGGAATGTAATTAGAGACAGAAGGAGTAATCTACTTTAGTGGAAAAGAACATCATTACTTCAAACATTTAGAGAAAACTTATTACTACGTATTACTAGAAGCGAGACAATTTCCAATGGACGCTCAATTTGTCTGTGAAAAGTGGCTAGTTGACTACAAAGTCCACAGCTCAATGTAATTTTTGATACCTATCAGATCGAATTTTTTTCGGAAGAATTATAGTCTTCTTTCACAGATGACCGATTGACCTTATTGACATATACTTCCTAGAAATTATATTATCACCATGTTTACTTCCCCAAAAATATTCAGTATGGAGTAAAATAATTTAGTGTACTAAAAATATTTTCAATTCATCAAAATTAAGTTAAGTTCAACAAATTTAGTAAAAGTGCGTTCTGTTTAGTAACTTTAAAGAATTACAAAATTTCATATGTGGCAGGCTATACCGTGCGGCCAACCATAATTTTAATTTTTTTTTTAATTCTTTTTCTCTCTCTTCTCTCCTCACCTCTCAGATCTATCTTCTCATTTTCTCTTTCTAACTTGCTCTCTAACCGCTAATGGCTGGAGCACGACTTACACCGTCGTCTTCATCTCAACCGTCGTCGTCTTAGTCAATCAAACCAACTCATATCTCCGCCTCTAAATTTCAAAGATCCAAACCCTAAAATTTCCCCCAAATTTCAACAAATCTGGTGATATGAAGGTTACTTTTGCCTTTGATGTTTCTGATAGCAAAGATTTATCTTCTAGAAATGATGTTAAGGCCGCTGAAGAGTGAAGAAGCTTTAGTTAAATTGGAGCTTTTAAGAAGGAAAAAAAAACCCTTAGCTTCTTCAAACTCATAATAATGATTGTTTTCGACATTTGAGCTAAAAAAACTCGGGATTGTAAAAGCTATTGTTACATTTGTTTGTAATTTTCAATTGATTCCTTTGATTGTGAACTTTATTTTGCTACAGTAATTGATAAATTGCAATGATTGGTATTGACAAAGTTGTTGTTACTTTTTATTTCATTATTTTGATTGTTAAATTTTTCTTCCATCCTTGAGAATTGGATCCTCAGTGGATAATTGTTGTGGTCGTACATTGAAATTGGTGGTTTGGTGGTTGCATTTGCAGTGAAATTGGTGGTTTATTAGTAAGGGGTTACTCGGTTGAGGTTACTAGTTTGGTCAGGGGTTACTAAATCAGAGGGGTTATTTAATCAGGGGTTACTAATAAATCGGAAGGGTTACTAGAGGGGTTACTTAATCAGGGGTTACTTAATTGGGGATTACTAGAGGGGTTACTAGGTTGGAGGGGTTACTAGGGGGGTTACTAAATCAGAAGGGTTACTTAATCAGGGGTTACTAATAAATCGGAAGGGTTACTAGAGGGGTTACTTAATCAGGGGTTACTTAATTGGGGATTATTAGAGGGGTTACTAGGTTGGAGGGGTTACTAGGGGGGTTACTAGGTCGGAGGGGTTACTTAATCAGGGGTTACTAGTTGGGTTACTTAATCAGGGGTTACTAGGTCGGAGGGGTTACTATAGGGGTTACTAAGTCGGAGGGTTACTTAATTAGAGGCTACTTAATCAGGGGTACTAGAGGGATTACTAAGTCGGAGGGGTTACTAAGTCGGAGGGTTACTTAATTAGGGATTACTAGGTCGGAGGGGTTACTAAGTTGGAGGGTTACTTAATTAGGGGTTACTAGGTTGGAGGGATTACTAGTGGTTACTAAGGAGATTACTAGGTCGAAGGGGGTTACTTGTTGTTTGTTGATGTGGTACTCTGCCGCACCGTGCGGCTGGCCACACCAGAAACCTGCTGTTAAAGAATAGATTTAATTTAGAATTTTTGACTTTTACCGCAAAAAGAAATCTCAAAATTGTTTTTTAGTACCAAAAAATTTTGAAAGGAAAATTTGATAATTACCATCATTTATAGTAGGCAAAATTGAAATTACCACCTCAAGTTTTTTTTTTTTTTTTTTTAAATTACCACTTAGTTTTTTGCAAAACTTTTATAAATTCCCACCTGTTTGACGAATGAAGTCATCATGGGGCCCAATTTCGCGTTTTCCCTCTCTCTTCCCTTGAATTCCCCTGTTTCCTTGCCTTCCTTCTCCCTTTTTTCGAATTCTTCTTTGAAATTCGATTTCAATTACTCAAATTAGGTTTACAATTCTGCAATCTTACCTATTTCGAATGGAATTGAATAGTGTAATTAGGGTGGGGGTAATCAATTTGGGGGTTTTGCTAAAATTAAAAAATTAAGGTTTATGAAATGAAAATTGGACAATTAAACAAGTAACTAGGACGAAAACACAATTAAATCATGCAATTTGGGCAAGGAAAACACGGTAATTCGAGGGAGGAGAGAGGGTAAAAGAGGAAAAACACGAAATTGGGCCCCATAATGACGTCTTTCGTTAAACAGGTGGGAGTTTAAAAAGTTTTGGAAAAAAAACTAGGTGGTACTTAAAAAAAAACCTTGACATGGTAATTCAAATTTTGCCTATTATAGATGGTGGTAGTTATTAAATTTTCCATTAAATTTTATTTTTTACAAACAAAAAAAAATAAAAATTGTTCTTTACCACATGCCGTTAAAAACCAAACGGAATATTTTAAATTCTTCGATTTTCGTGCCAAACACATCATCTTTAGGGGTTTTGGGGGGCATTTTGGTCCTTTGATCCAATTTGAGGTCAGAATTGATAAATATTAATCGAAAATGCTTCCTTTTTTACGTGTTTAAAAATACCTCGGTTTGCGTGAAACACGCAAAACGAGGCATTTCCGATCATTGTTTTTGTCAATTCTAACTTCAAATTGGGTCCAAATGGCCGAAATGCCCCGCCTAAACCAATGAACAACAAGTTTTGCACACGAAAATTAAAGATTTATTTTTAAACCGTTAAATTTAACGGTTTTTTCTTGACGGTATGTAATAAAAAATAATTTTTAGAAATTTTTTTGGTGGTAAAATAAAACTTTTAAAATTTTTGGTATTAAAAAACAATTTCGTGATTTTTTTTGTGGTAAAAGTCAAAAAAATCCATTTAATTCTCACCCAAAAAAAAAAAAAAAGATTTTATAGGGAATCAATAAAAATAAGTCTTAATGGAATAAAATAATTTCAGTTCAACAAAAATAAATTGAGGAGAACTAGACATTATTTTACTACCAAACTATACAGAAGCTTCTGCAAATTTCCAAATTAGTACCCTCAGTCCCTCACACAAATAGTTCACTTAGGACTAGTTGGCCCAAATTATTAGTGGCTTAATCACTGTCTCAAGTCATGATAGACGACTAATCTTTTATATAATGCCTTCTCCATGTGCATTCCATAACCCATTGAATACTTATTAAACTTATGGATCGGATGAATTTTTACAATGTAATTTGAAGGGTATATATTAATTTTCATACCCCTAATTATATTACTTTATTTTCAGTCCATTCGCTCACAAGATACAAGCACATGGACAAGTAAATAGCCTTAGTTGTACCATACATACGGTACAACCAGTTCAATCTAAAAACTTGCCTGAGATCGATCACAATATACAACTCTGTACCACTCCGTAATTGATATTTTGATGTATGCACCCGAGAGCACGTACATGGTATGAGGTAATGTGCAATAATCCAAGACAGAGGTCCATTGCACCCTTAATATTTGTCAATTGATTGTTTTTATATTAACTTGGAGCACAATTTCAAAATGCATATGGTTACATACTTACATTACTGAATCTGATTGAACAAAATGCAATTGAATTGACATTAGTTTTACATACTCGTATCTTTATAGGATGTACAAAATGATCTAATATCGATCGAGCATTTGCAGGTTGTTCCCCCAAGGCCGTTGGTCAATAAGAGCCTGTGGTTTCTGTATGCTGGAAATGTCATAATTACTAAAAGTGGGTTCAAGGCAATGGCTGCATCTTCAATACCATTGTCAGGCAGCAAAGAAAGTCAGTCTCAGTTTCTTTCTACGTGCATCGCCCCTGCTGAAGTTGTTAAGGGTTCGAATCTACAACAACAGATGTTCTGTCATCTACTTTGTGGCCTAAGAAAGTTCGAGGTAATCGATTCCATTCGAGCACCATATGCTATATCTTTGATTAAGGCCTTCTCAGTTTTACAAATTAAGTGGGAGCAGCTTTGTAATGATCTTGAATCAGGGACTGTAAGTTCTGAAATTACTGACATTGCAATGAGGGACTCAGTTAATGAACTTCTCTGTGGGCCTGAGGAAAAAATTGCGAATAGAGTTCGAGCAATTTGTCAAGAAGAGAATTGGGAAGGAGTTATTGGTAAGTTATGGCCAAATGCTAGATATGTCAGGTGTATTACTACAGGAAGTATGCAACAGTATTACACGAAACTGAAATATTATGCAGGAGATGTTCCATTGCTAGGTGGTGAGTATTTTGCTTCAGAATGTTGTGTAGGCATCAACATGGATATTATGCAACTTCCTGAGCTGACTCGTTTCGTTATGCTCCCAACAGCAGCTTACTTTGAATTTCTTCCATTCGATTTGTACGATAAAAATGCTTTTGCAGGAAAAGAAACAGTTGATTTTTCTGAGGTGGAAGTGGGAAAGATGTATGAAGTTGTTGCGACAACTTACAGAGGACTATATCGTTATCGTCTAGGCGATGTTGTAAAAGTCGTAGGATTTTATAATTCATCCCTGAATTGGAGTTAGTCATGAGGGCTCCTAAAAATCCTAGCGAAATTTTAACTGAGAAAGACTTGTTTAGAGCTGTTCAGAACTTGGAGCTTGCAGGGGGGAGTTTGTTACTTGGGAAGTTAGTAGAGTTTGCGGGTTTTATGGACTTGGATTCAGAAGCTAAACAAGTTAAGATCTTTGTTGAGTTTGCACACGAGTGTATACTTCCAGAAAAGGAGAAGGAGAACGAGTCAGTTTTGCTTCTTGAAAGTTGTCGGTCTACTATAGAAGATGGTTTGGGAGCTATGTATAAATTGAAGAGAGGAAATGGTGAAATCGGAACTTTGGTGCTATCAGTTGTTCAGCCGGGTACTTTCGATTTGTTACTCCACAAGGCTGTTGAAAATGGTGCTCCTGCTAGTCAGTATAAGCCACCTAAAATCATTAGAAGTCATGGGATTGCTGACTTCATGGATGCTAATTCAGCTTTAACTGTAGTTTTCAATTGATCATCAACAAGAGGTGCATACATTTTAATCATTACAATCTGTGTATTTGACGATTTGTGAATCTATGTGTTATACATGTTTATTGTTGTTGTAATTTGACTTTCTAATTAAATTCCTTTTTCTTATTTATGACAATATAATCCTCATGTTTCCGGCTTACATTACCAAATGAACTAAACTGAAGAAATTTTAAAAATAGAACCATCTATCAGCTAATGTGATAAAGTTCAATTACCAAGCTTGCATATACATGATCATTGTTAAAAAATTAATGTATATTAGCTGTCCTAAACTACTACTTCATCACAAATTTAAGATTTTGAGTATTTAGAGTATTCTTGGAGTCTGATAGTTTTTGTCAAGGAAAATTTTCACTTATTCATGTATCAGTAAATTTGTATGATTGTATACATTCTCTAGTAAAGGTTTACACATTTCTAACAAGGGTTTCTGATGCCGTTGTTCTCTCCCTTTAAAAATTGTTATGGACCCTATCACTATCCATTAAGGGTGATTTGGATTTCCTCCAAAGTTCTCCCATTTGTTTCAGGCACAACCATGACGACAAAAATGATGCCGAGTGCATAAGTCACAGCAAAGATAAGGAAGGTACCTGACAAGTACAGAAAAACTATGATCATGAATGTGCAGTGTTTATAGTATTGTAAGGTATATATATTACATATTTTGCTTAGTTGTTTCAGTCGTAAATCTGATCCAAAGTAGAGCTGTGGTGTACCATATGAGCTCCATTCCATCAGAAAATTGAATGTATAAGAGACTGCCCAAGCACCAAACCAGTTCACGAGTGTTGCCAGGCTTCCAGCCACTCCTTTTACATTATCGGGAAAATCTGTCATTTATAAAAAACTTCTCAGTAGATTGCTGACATTTACTATCTTAACTAACAAGAACAAATAGTTTATATGGTTTGGGGTTACCTCTGACATTACAACCCAGGGGACCGGACCCATTCCTATCGAATAGAACGCTATGTATACCTATTACACTCATAAAAGAAACATTTGTGAGCTTGACATGTACAAAACATTCATGAGCAGTATTTGTGAAATCGTTTCTTTTGTAACAGCTAAAACTCTGCATACCAGTAGCTGCAAGTATACCTCCTGCTTTTGTCGATTCCTGATGAACCTAATATAGAATTAAAAGTATCATTTCTGTGGTTACAAGTCTACTGCAAGTTGTCGACTATTATACTACCTCCGTTTGTTTTTATTTCATAAGTTACCTTGAGGTAGAATGCAACTGATGTGAGAAAGCAACCTAAAGCTGATCCTGTCGCCGAAACCTGTAGTGTATAAGATATGTTTCCCAAGTCATCAAATGTAATAATCAAAAGGTAATTTTAAAGGATAGAGGTAATCTTTACCAATAGTAAAGGCTTTCTTCCAGCTTTATCAATCAACGTTGCTCCAACAGATGGAATCACAACCTGCAGAGTATAATTCTTAGGGAAGTGACAATAGACATAACAGAATCACTGCCTTTAGTAACAGGGATGTTTTGCCTCAAACCTGCAGTAAAGCATATATAACTGTTCCAATCTTTGAGGAAAATCCTGTCGAAAAAGCAATGAGATTCAAGGCATCTTTGAATACTTTATGAGAAAGCTTTCAAACTTTACTGATGGCTAAGTAAGCAGTAAGAAGTGGTGTTAATGGTAAGCTTATAAGTAATAGGCAAGGAAAGTCCCATTTCAAAGTTCATGGTAATGCTTCTCCACATGTTATAGCAAAAAAGATACTTGGAGATACTTGTGGGTAACTGGGTATGTACAGTAACATTGCCATGATCAAAATTTCCTTTCAAATTTAAATACAAGTTCATTAACATTAGTACTATTAATTGCCGCCTTTCAAACAGACTGTACGTACATTCATGTTCTGTTGTGAAGAATTAAACAAAGTCCTTTTACCTGCAGTCTCAAAAATATTGCTTGCATAGAAGAAAATTCCATTGATTCCCCCAAACTGTTGCAACACCATTAATCCAACTCCTACCTGGAAGAAACACCATTAAACTATCGTCTCAAGAAGCAGTAACACCTCATTGTAAGTAAACTATCAGTACCAGTTAAACTTACTATGACAGAGCGTAGATATTTCTTCTGAAACAGGTCAAATATTCTAGCTTTCGGGTGATGTTTGAGCTCCTCTATACAACTCTATCAAATGAAAATACATGAGTCAATAATTCAAATGTTTATACAATTTCATTTAATTTGCTGACACAATACCTGGATCTCAGCTACTTCATGAGTTATGTCTGCATCTTGGCCTCGAAGTTTTTGAAGTGCATCTTTGTACTCCTGATTTCCTCTTCTTGCCTATATCCATAACCAACGACCAACACGCACTTAGTTTTCCTTGCAGATCATGTTGAGTATATTATGTTACCTATAGTTTATGTATTCGTACCAGCCATCTTGGTGACTCCGGAATAAGAAACAAACCCAAAATCATAATAGCACAAGGGATTAGTCCTGCATCATATCATTAAGTTACTTTTTGGCTGAATTGCTAGCTTTTCCTTAATGATCAGGTATGCTTTTATGAAGCCTTTACCGGTTAATGCTAATGCTCTCCATGATACCTATCCCTATTATAAATGCCACTGAGACCCCTGTAGAGATCATGACCTGTATAATAAATAAGAGCAAGTAAGCGCCCCTATAATGTATTTTTGGACAGAATTCTAATATGTTGCTTAATGAAAAGTATGCTTCAAAAGTTCAAAGAGATTTTCCTTTAAAATGTTCTCTGTAACTTTGGAATTGTCATATACATATATATATATATATATATATATATATATATATATATATATATTATATATATATATATATATATTATATATATATATATATATATATATATATATATATAATATATATATATATATATATATAAACACACCTGATTCAGTGTTGTAAGGGCTCCTCGAATGTTTACAGGTGATATTTCAGCAATGTAAATAGGAACCTGTAAAATTTATCATAGTACATAACACCGACATTTAGTTGAGCTCAAATCAATAGTTTAAAGATTACAATGTATAACAGAACATACGTACCACATAGGAGAAGGCACCCATTCCATATCCTCCGGCTAATCTTCCTATGTCCAAAACAAAAGTACCCTGCTTTTCATAGGATAATATCTTAACAATTTATTTCATTTAATTAAAACAACATTAGTTAATAATTATTATTTATAGTTTTACAAGAAAATATTAGTCTCAACCTTGGAAAAATATATAACTAACCACCCTGCTACGCAGCATGTGGCATACAGTCCCATTGCCTGCCAATAAATCAAATTTAAAAAGAATTCATATCATGCACCAAAGAAGTTAGCCTGTGACATAGTACCCTGATAAATTTTGCTTCCTACCCATTTTCGACCAACAAAATCAGCCATCGGTCCACTTGTTATAGCGCCAAACATAGCACCAAAAGTCAGTATAGAACCAAAAAGTGAAAACTGCATGAAAATCAGGAACAAAAATAAACATCTTAGGAGCTTTATGCACATCAAAAATAGCTAAACCGATATTGCAAAATACACATAGAAGCGGACTGTCAGCAAACCTCAGCAGTTGACAGATGAAGTTTTGCAGTTATTGCAGACTGTGTAGGAGAAGAGTAGCCAGCCTGAATATCAACCCTGTTGAGCAATTAGGTTTTGATGATTATAAACTAATGATGATTATCTATCTAACGTGTATGTTAAGTTGTGCATAGAAAAAGCAAATTATGCTTGGAACAGGATACAAGGAACCTGAGTAATGACAGGTATATATGTAAGGAACTTGAGCAATATAGGATAAGCAATAGAGGAACAAGAACAACGATAAGTGTTATGGTTGATAAGCATGATGATGGCTAAGGGACCATGAAGGTAACTATGTAAACATGTGTTTACATATGTTAGCTTCATAAGGTAAGTATCCTATACATATATAGGTTATGTATGTGTAGGAGTCTTTTAATTTAGTTTAGTTTTCTTTATTGTTTTTATAAATAAAAAACTAACCTTCTGTTTTACTTTGTTATTCTCAGAAGTTTGCTCAGTTCGTCATCATCAAAAAGGGACAACTTGTTGATCCTTATGAGGTTTTGATGATGATGTTAAGAATTGAGCAAACTTCCATTTAATAAGGATTTTCTAGTGTTGTGATGTTTGCAGGTTCAGTAAGCGTTGAGGGCTGAAGTAGGAATTGAAACAGAGGAACTTTAGAGGATCCATGAGGATACAAGTAAATTTAGAAGAAGAGTTCCAGAAATGGAACTTCCAGAAGTTTCTTAACAGGAACTTCAAAACGGGTGGTAACGACCTGGTTTCGGTGTAATGCTGGGGAAAACCCTAAGATCCAGAATATATCAAGACTACAGGATTCCAGAACAAGAGTTTCAGAGAAGCAACATGAAGACAGAGAAATAGAAGTATATTGCTCTAGGATTCATGTAAGTATGTTGGACATAAAAGTCGGTCTGGAACAAGTCTATATAGAACCAAGGTGAATTCCAAACAGTCAATGAAATTAGAGTAACTGACTTGTCAGGAACTCAGAGACTGTCAGAGTTCAGGAACCTAATAGGAACTTAAGTATGAACGTCGTTAAAAGTCGGTTTTAATGATATATATATTTACCTTATACGTGCATATCTTTTAGGGATTTGGTTTTACTGAATAAAGATATTTATCTTCTAATAAATCCCTTTTGGAAAAAGATAAGATTGTTTAAAAAGTATTTTAAACAAAAAGATAAGTTTTGAATAAAATCTGATTTTATGCTAAGTTTATCTTATTATTATTGACAGTTTTTATTCTTAACAAAAAGATATATTTTCGGAAAACTGATTTTTAGAAAATATCTTTTAAACTTATCTTTTCAGAAAATCTATCTTTTTCAAGATGAAATGAATAATTCGAGTGTACTATAAATATGCTCATATGCATTCATTCAAAGTTGAGGCTGACGAAGTGTAGTGGTCGTTCTTAATGGTTTTATCCTTCACCACGAAGCTAAGTCAGTCCTCCTGGTCAAAGTTCCTATCAGGTTTTTGGTTACAATACGTCTAGTGAGTTCCAGACAGATCT